GCCTGTTTCTCTGTGGTGTGTGGAGGGCTGGCTTCAGGGAATGCCGTCCAGCTCTCCCAGCCCCTGCCTCTTTAAACACTTCGGGGCATATTTCCCTAAAACACAGGGATATCGCAACCCGGTGCCCTTGTATGCAAGGGTGACCGACAATTAAATGCTTGTAGATGCATTGAAAACAATGCTGTGGGAGAAAGGAAGAGATGGCCATTTACTGAGTGCCTACGGAGTGCCAGGAACATGAGACGTTTTATCTCACTGAATTCTCAAAAAAAAACAACATTTTTTAAATGTCTTGACTACCCACTACAATGATAGTATAGTCTCACATTCAAGAAAATGAATCCTAAGACTTCAGCTGGGATCTAGGCCCTGCCATTTGCTAGCTGTGTGATTCTGGGCAAACTACATTTCTGTGCCTATTTCCTCCACAGCGAAGTGGAAATAAGCATCTACCTCACAGCATTTTAATGAGGATTAACATATGTAAAATGCTTGAACCAAAGCCTGGCTCCATGTGTGTGTTGTTATTACCGTATGCAGTGGATCTACCTTATGGGCAGTATATTGTATCCACTTTACAAATAAGGACAGGGAAGCTTATTGAACTGATATAACTTGTCAGGGGACACACAGCTTGTGCAGGACAGAGAGAGATTTGGAAGAGGGCTGTATGCAGTTCCCAAGAGCTTTCCATCACCCACCAAAGCCAAAACATATTTTTACTACTGGGTTTCTGTCCCTCAGAGAGATTGCAGACAGTCACACAGGAAGGGCTGTGTAAGGGTCTCATCAGAAATAGTATTGAAACCCTGGCTGGTGTGGCTCAGTTGGTTGCGCGTCATCCCCTGCCAGTTGGATTCCCGGTAAGGACACATGCACAGGTTGCAGACTGGATCCCAAGATAGGGGTGTGCAAGAGGCAGCAGATCGCTTTCACATGGATGTTCCTCTCTCCCTCTCCCTTCCTCTCTCTAAAAATCAATTTTTAAACATAAAATAAATATATTATTGAAAATATTCGTCCTTCGACTAATAAACCCTGTGGAAGGCAGGCTGGTTTAGGAAGGCAGCTGGGTCAAGAGCCTATACTACATAGGCAGGAGCCTGAAGGTAAGAAATGGTTCCCCGGAAAACAAAGGATCAGTCACAGGAAATGGTGATGGGAGGAGGGTGGAAGGCAAAGAAGGGACTTTTGATGGGAGCTAGGAGTTTATCCAGGACTAAGACCAGGAGGGAAACGATAAAGGCTGGGATTTCTGGAGGCTGCGTATCTGGACGGTGGAGCTCAGATAGGACCCTGGGCAAGGAAGGGATGAGTCCAGAAGGGCAAGGATGGGCCATAGCGACTCCAGACAAGGGACAAGTATGGGGCTTTTTAGACCCCTTGGAGTCTTTACTTCCTTTCACACTTTCCTTTCAGCTGCAAAGTAAACTGGGAGCCTCAGAGGATGGAACAAAAAGAAGACGAAGGGGCTGGTAGTCTAGGAGTCCTGCTCAGGAGAGAAGTGAGTAAACAGCGCACAGCCCTGGGGCGTGGGAGCCTCCCTTGTGCTGTGTGCTCTGGATAGAGAAAGCCAGTGAGGTAGAGAGCAAGACAAGTGCCCACGTAAATTAGATTTTTAGGCTGCATTTATCTACACAACTGAGGGGGAGGGGGGATAGAGGAGGGTGGCTGAATCTTCTGGAAACTGATTTCCACTTACTTTTGCTGGATTGTTTTGCCCTAGAAGTCAACGGAGAGCCTTACTAGGTCCTTTTTCCTGAACGAGATCGGTTTGTCCCAGACTCTGAGGAAACCCCGCAGCAGGAGGAGGAAAGGGTCACTGGCCCTGGGGAACAAAAGCCGCCTAAGTGCCCACTGAAGGAAAGGCTAGCTACCGAAGTTCAAGGGAAATTACGGGAATATTCGCATTGCACACGTCACATCGTTCGCTTTCCTGCTTCAACTCGGGACAGAATCGAATTTGTATTTTAACAGCAAATTAATTATAAAAACAAATACGCTGTAATAAATTAAATTCCTTATGAACATATCCTTGGAGTTAAGGTTCATCTGGTGGTTTTTTGTTTGTTTGTTTTTCCTTTAACATGCGATAGGATGGCTTAAAAAATCTTAACACCAAGGCAAATTCAGCCCTTGGCATGCTCGTGGGGCCGCAGAGGAAGGCTCGAACAAGGTGACCAGTGTTCTCCAGGCGGACCGCACGCGGTAAGGACTTGAAGAGGGAAGAGGGTAGAGGAGGACCTCCAATATCAGCGAGGGCTATCAGGACGTTCTACTAATAAACGACTTTTTCACTGTCCACACTATAATTGGTTTACAGCCTTTCTTGTTTGTTTATCCATAAGAGCTGCTGTTAAATGGCTCGGGAAGGCCGGCGCTCGGCTAATGGCTCTGTGACGCTCTGGGCCAGTGGGAGGTGAAAGGGGCGCAGGCGTCAGCGGGGATGCGGAGCGGAAACGCATTCACCTGTAATGGACCTGGCGGTTTTATGATATCAGGAGCTACACGCACAGGAGACATTAAGACGGGACCTTGCTTAGCGGAGGGCTCTAGGGCTGAGGTTTTTCTGTATAAATGTAGGTTATACTAGTAATTAGCCAACCCAGTATAGTCAGCTTTGTCCCACCTGAGACTAACACTAAATGGCTGTTTGATCTTGGCTGCCTGGGTCACTTCTCCAGGTAGCCGGCAGCAAGACATGCCGTGTGCGGGGAGAACGTGCCCCTTCAGCACCCGGCGGCCGGCGCGTTGCCCTCCTGCGCGGTGAGTGGGTTTGCTTTCTGCTGAGCGCCTCTTCTCTTTCCGCAGGACCGAGCAAAACCAGTAAATGGGAGCAAATGAAGCAAAGAAATGGAGACCAATTTACAGAAACGTGCAATTAGCGAGAAGTGCAAAGTAAACACTCTGGGTCGAGGGTGGCGGCCGAGGCGGACAGCCAGACTACAGTGTCAGTGTAAGGCACACCTTAACTGTTGTAGTGATGTCCCGAGCGGAGCTCGCCGCCGCCGGCTCATAACCGCGTCGCCAAGTCGACCCACCGTGATTTGGCAGATTATCTCCGAGGGTCAACACGCCGCGGCCGGGCAACCCCCGCCGGCCCTGCGCTCAGATCGAAGTAGCCACTCGCGGCTCGGTGACTGGTGATAGCGGCGGGTTCTCCTCGTTCTCTGACTCCAGGAACAATGAACTCTTTGACTCGGGGGCCTGCGCAGGTCCCACAGCTTTTCAACCCCTGCCCCCACACCCCCCAGCAGGTGGTCCTTTTCCCTAAAGAAATCCCTGAACTCCCCACCCCCCATCCCGGGCGTCCTGGTAGCTACGCGAATTCCCAGACGCGCGCCGTCCACTCGATACAGAGCACACGCCAGTTCTGAGATGACACCAGCATCTAAAAGGTCTCTGCAGAGAAGTCAAATCCCACTTTGGTTTTTGCTTAGTGCACTCAGTCCGTGTGCATTTAAAACAAATAGTCTACCCTGGCCGGCGCGCTCGCTCGGTTGATTGGAGCGTCCTCCTGTAACCAAACGGGTTGCGGTTCCATTCCCGTCGGGGCACCGCAGGAGCCAGAAAATCTCTCTCTCTCTCTCTCTCCTTCCTCTCTTGACAATCAGTTTTTAAAAAAACTGTAAAACACAAATATTTTTCACAGGAAAAGTATATTAAAATATACTTGTTAAAGGGCTCGGTTAGTTAGTACTTGAGGAAGGTCACATTGCAGTGGTTTTTCTCTGCTGGCTCCTTGTGCTTCACGCTCCCTCTTGCCTAGGCTTCTCTGCAAAGGTGTCTAGTTTTTCTAAAACCCCACCCTGCGGTTCCAGGAATGTGTTCATTTCGGCAGGACCCAGTCTGAGGCCGCCCAGGACCCACCCTCAGGGCAAAATGATCAGAGGCGGCGGTCAGCAGGGGGTGGGTGCCACGAGAGCGGGAGAGAGGCAGTCCGCACCTTCCACCTTCGGGCTGGAAAAAGGCGTCTCTATTTAAGTCAGGACCCCCGAGTGCCCAGAAGCTACCCAACCTGTGGAAGCGAAAAGCTGTTGTTGTCATAAAAACGCTTTTATTTCTTTTGTAAACACTGCCCACATCTCCTGATGCTGTCTCCAGCTGACGGACTCCGCGGCCTGGCCCGGATCATCCGGGTCCGTGGAGAGCCCTCAAGGGTCTGGAAACTCCGGGCCAACACCCTGCTCCCGCCTCCCAGCCACAAGAGGGGACGCTACTTCTTGCCCCTGCCACGTTAAGAAACCATTCTGAGTTGACCAAATGAGCCCCAATTCATCTAAATCAAAATTAACAATGCCTAATGATTTTCTAAATTAAAAAGCCACCGTGAATGCTTCAGAAGTTAGTTTATTCTTCAGAAGTTCCATAGCACAGCCACAGATAAAAACATACAACGAATGCTGGGTCTGTGTGTGCTGGCTCCTGGAACCCTTGGTGGCTGCGTGCAAAATGCGTAGACAAAATAGAACGAGCTGCGTCCGACCTTTAGAGCTGGGATCTGTAAACTTTTTTGACCATATTCCCTAACAAGTTTAAGTGTACAACCTCACCATGTAGAAATATATTTACTAATATATTATGTGCATTATCAAACATACAAGGAAAAGAGATCGTTTAAAATCTGAAGGAACTGCTTCTATCACTGAAGAGACTTCTAAGATTTTCATGCGCGCCCCACTTTGGAGAGAGCTGCCAATTGCGCTGCAGGTGTGTGCAGTAGACGCAGCTGAGGGAGAAAATCGAAACGACGGCGGTGCTCGCGGGGACCTGGGCCTCGCTTCTTAAGGCAGTCAGACCGGCCAATAATGGCCCCAGGCCGAGCCACGTGGGCCACAGCGGAGCCTATGGCGGGGCAGCCGGCCAGCGAGTCCCCGCCAGCAGCGGGTTCTCTCTGAGAGCAGAGCGAAGCTGTCAAAAAGAGTAGGGGTGGCGCCGGGAGTGGGAGAGCTGCACAGCTCCGAGTCCCCGGCTCCAGGTCCCCACTCTGGGTCCCCAAGCCCGGGTGGCAGCCATGAACGGCGAAGAGCAATACTACGCGGCCACGCACCTTTACAAGGACACATGCGCGTTCCAGCGGGGCCCGGCGCCCGAGTTCAGCGCCAGCCCCCCGGCGTGCCTGTACATGGGCCGCCAGCCCCCGCCGCCACCGCCTCCGTTCCCCAGCACCCTGGGCGCGCTGGAGCAGGGCAGCCCGCCAGACATCTCCCCGTACGAGGTGCCCGCCCTCGCGGAGGACCCCACGGTGGCACACCTCCACCACCATCTCCCTGCTCAGCTCGCGCTCCCCCACCCGCCCTCCGGGCCTTTCCCGGATACAGCCGTGCCAGGCGCCCTGGAGGAGCCCAGCCGCGTCCAGCTGCCTTTCCCATGGATGAAGTCTACCAAGGCTCACGCGTGGAAAGGCCAGTGGGCAGGTAAGCCTGGACCCGGCCCCTCTGTCCTCACCCTCTCTCGCCCGGCTGCCCCTACCTCTGATCACTCCGCAGGACCCCTCCGAGCTCCTGTTCCGGCCCCTACGGATAAGCCGGGGTCGGAGTAAAGTACACAGGGAGCAACGAGGCCAGACCGCAGGGACGCGCTTCTCTGGTCCAATTTGGAGAGTCTTTGCTTCTAAGCTCTCCTACTGGGAGCTTAAATCCCTTCCCCCTCTGTACACTGAACCCCGGGAGCCCCGTGCGCCCAGGGCCGCTCCCAGAGAGCCTACCCCTGGCCGAACGCAAGGCTTCGGATCCTCGGATCCCCCTCCGGCGGGGATCCGCCCGCCCCGGGCTCCCGGGAGTTCGCGTGCAGGAAGCCGAGCCGGGTTGGGGTACCTCTGAGCCGCGGGAGCGCGCCTTCGGGTCTCGGGCCGCTCGCGCCCTGAGCCTGTGGGCCTCACCGCAGCGCGGCGGCAGCCTCGGGCGCCCAGGAGAGGCAGGGAAGCAGCGATGTCCGGAGGCCGGCCTTGCGGGGAGGCTGCAGGCAGGAGTCGGGGCCAGGTGGGGGCCGAGGACGCCGCTCACCTAGGAGCCAGGCAGCTGGGCCAGGCGCCTGCGATGCTAAGTTCACTTTTGACCAAACAGAAGCTTGTGAAGGGGTCTCCCCGCGCTGCTTCCCGGAGGTCCGTTTGCGGAAGGAGATGCTGTTTCCGCACAGCCAGGCCAGGCACGGGGAGCCCTGGGAGCAGGGCCCGGGCCGCGGCGGTAGCAGGTCTCCCTGGAGCCGGAGGCTAAGAGCGAGCAGCCAGGCTCCTTCCCCGCCCCGACCTGCCGAGATTTCCGGCGCGGCCTGTGCCGCCCCCGCCACACAATGTTATCGTGTCGCAGCCACTTCTGGTCACACCTGCACTGCAAATAGTTGGCTTTTCTTTCCTCCCAACTCACGAGAGTAGGGGGAGAGACTCAGCTGGCGCCCCTCCCCCATCCCGGAGTCTGGCCGTCCCCTGCCTGACCCTGACCCTGGCCCGCCAAGCAGGGCTTTGGGGGGTCCGGGCTCGCCCGGGGTCCTCGGGGCTCGCCTCTCCTAGTTCACTTTTTCTGAAAGCTGAGTGTGAGGCCGGGGCGGACAGGGCCCCCACTCAGCCGCAGCCTTCCCACCTCCGGCGAAACCGCCGCTTCTGCACACTCTTCCCCTGCGGCCCGGCCAGGGGCCGGAGTCTCCGGGAGGCTGGAGGACCGCGTCCTTCTATGGGAGGAGAGGGCGGGGGCAGGGATGGGGGGGGCTCTCAGCCAGTAGTCCCCTCGGTAGCTGCGCTCCCTCCAGGGCTCCATTCCCGAAGGGCGCAGGGAACACAGTTTCTGGCCTTCCCCGCGCTCCCGGCGGCTTCCTCCGGAAAGGGCGAGGGAGGCCCTGAGGTGGGCCACATCCCTCCCCTCCTCCCGCAGGAGTGTCCCCCTCGCTCTGGTGCAGCTTGGGCTCCAGGGGCCCAAGAAGCCAGAAAGTAAAACCCGAAGGAAAATCGGCAGCCTTGTCGGGGCAGCGAGGGACCGGGAAGCTGGCATCCCCAGGCTGGAGCTTCGGGGCTGGCGGGGCCGGCCTTCGCCCTCTGGCCCTCTGCAGGCTCAGCCTCCTGGGAAGGGGCCCGACCCCTCTTTCCTGGAAGCTGCCTGGGGAGGGGGTCCTTCCAGGGGAAACTTTCAAAGGAGCCAAACTTCCAGGGTCTGTGAACCCGCCTCCCACTCCCTGTTGGGTTCCACGCGTGGGGAAGGCAGGATGACCGGAGGGCTTTTGTTCGGAACACAGATATGAATACTAACAACAGGAACTTCCGAAAAACTTGACCTAAAAAGTGAACTGTCTCAGCCTCACGGGCCAGCTCTCCTGTTGCCGTTTCCCAATAACAGCACAACCGCCTCCACCTCCACCTCCATCTCCAGCCAACTCTCCCAGCGTCTGTCTGTCTTCTAGCAGAAGGGGGAAACGCCTCTAGCAGAAGGGGGCCTGGAGGGTGTGGGTGGAATGTAAGACCCCGAGGGCCTTTTTAATGCTTTAAATGTTCCTCCAACGCTCCCTCCCAGGCCAAGGAAGGCTTGGGAGTGCAAGACCCAGAGATGCCCTGAGGCAAGCAAGCGTCCTTCGCTGACTCAGGCCGAGCCTCCGCCCTGGCTGCTGAGAGCCAACGCTTAGCCCCGGGAACTGGCAGGTTCCATGGTGTCATTAACCCTCCTCCACAGACACGCACACCAGCTTTTCAGCTCCCTAAGGCCTAGCCAACAGTCACAGAAGAAACGTCTCATACTCTGCCCCAAGGACAGACTTAGGCCTCTTCCCAGCGTTTCGGTGGAACTTGGCCCAACAGAGTCCACAGCCCCGTGTGCAGGCAGGATCTCGAATAGAAAGGAAAAGCCCAGGACCTCCAGGAGCGCAGCGGCAAACACCAGTTGTGAGCTAATCCACAGGGTCAGGCCAGACTGCTGCTTCTCACCCGGCTTAGAACTGGGAGCCCTTGACACCACCCCATCCCCTCCAGTCTCAAGCGGGATTCAGTGCAGGCCTCTGAGCCGCCCCTCAACCAGGATTTGGGGTCCAGACCTAGGCAAAGGCTGATAGTGACCTTCTTCGAAGCCCAAAATAGTTTCCCTTCTTTTCCAGGACAGGGGCCCTGCCGAAGTTAAAATGAGGACAATTACAGAAAATTTCCTGGCCCTCTCTATACAGAGAACTATGGTCAGATATAACAATATATGGATATATGGATATTGTTATATTAACTCAAGGTTGTTCAGATTTTTATTAGCCAAAGGTTTTTCAAACTGAGGGCTGCACCTCTTAGTGGGTAATGAAATCAATGTACTGGGTCGAGACCTTTCTTTGAAAAAAATGAAATAGTAACCAACAGGAAAAATTAGATAGCATCGTATGTGGTAAAAGTTGGTTTTATGTCCTGAAAGTGTTTGTGTCAGTTATATATCTGTATGAACTAGGTAGTGGTCTGAAATGTATTTTTCTTGTGGGTCATTGGCAGAAAGTTTTTTTTTTAGTTCTGTATTACAGTCATTTTATTGCCTTTGTAGGATCAAATTGGTTTAGAAACCTATTATGTACATTTTAATCAGCATCAATACACAAGTTAAGGGAACCCGTTCAAGAACCACGTGTTGAGAGAGCCCACCGCAGTGTCAGGGAGAGAAAAACATTGGTGTGAGAGAGACACATCGATTGGTTCACACACACACACACACACACACACACACACACGCCCGCCCCGCAGGAGGCAGCCGGGATGGGGAAGCACACTCTCATGTCCTGTGTCCCGCAGGCAGTGCCTACTCCGCAGAACCCGAGGAGAACAAGCGGACGCGCACGGCCTACACTCGCGCGCAGCTGCTGGAGCTGGAGAAGGAGTTCCTGTTCAACAAGTACATCTCCCGGCCGCGCAGGGTAGAGCTGGCCGTCATGCTGAACTTGACCGAGAGACACATCAAGATCTGGTTCCAGAATCGCCGCATGAAGTGGAAAAAGGAGGAGGACAAGAAGCGCGGCTGCGGGACAGCCGCCGGGAGTGGCGGGG